AGCATCCTCTTGAACGTTTCCTTGCCTATAGAACCCTGTTGCACAGTTAGCTCAGTTTGGCAAATGACTGGCAGGTTTCTGTTTGACTTTCTTTCAACAAAAAAATGTATAGGGTGAGAATACTGAATCATGTGGAATATGATGTGATAGGATACAGGTACTTTAAACTGATCCAAGATACAAATTTTGAAACCAATACATTGGTCTACTTTGGAGGAAGCTGGTGGGAAACAATGAGGGGAGTGGAACACAGTGGGAATTACACTCTGTTTACTGTTTTGGGGTTTGGCATTGCCATGACAGTGTCTGCAAGTATGCAATTAATACATGGATCACATTATTARTTGTGGAGGACAGGTATTAGCCTTCAACAGTGATGCTTTGGGTTTTGTTGGTTGGGTTTTTTTTTTTGCAGGGTGATGTTCGCTTGTTTGTTTTCTCTTTTAGTCTGCCATACAAGTCCTTTTTTGGGGGCGTGTCTGCTCTGACTCCAGAACATTACATGAAGATTAATGGGTTTCCCAACACATACTGGGGCGATGGTGGTGAAAATGATGACATAGCTACAAGGTACCAATGCACAGGACAGGCTTGAAATGGAWCTAAGCTGGCAAGGGAAGCATGGCAACACCCTAGGAAAGAAACCAAGGCATTGTTCCTTCATGTGCTTGCAGTGTAATGCCAAATGTTGTTGGTATTGGGAATGCTTAACATTGGAAGACGCTCAGAACCTGTGAATCCAATCACTGTGTGCTGGGAAAACAAAGCTTTSTCATTTCTGGAGAGCAGAATGTTACTTCACATCCTTGTGCCTTCAGCCAAGGGGTTATAACCACTTGTAGTTGACAAGTGCCTCTGCTGGAAGGAATCTGCAAGCTTGATGAATAAGAAGGTACTTAACTAATTCTCAGACAGTTGGGAATTTAAGTTAAGTACATTTAGGTTCCTCYAAGTGTTACCTAATCACTGATACTTGCCATTAAGGAACACAAGGAATTCTATCTTTTGTCTGCAGTGCAGGGTGATGGAGAAGCCAGTGTGAGTCAGTGACAGCAAGAGTTGATGKTTTTTCTTGTACTTGGGTTGCCATGGCAGCAGCATTCTATAGATGAGTTTAGTTGCAGGTGCTCTGCCTAATGTGAATTCTTGAAGTACAGAATTGTGGCTGTAGCTTCTCTATTCCACTTTGGAATTGCATTGTGCACCTTTATGATCCAGCACTGAGGCAGGCTCATGGGGAACATTATAACACTAAACTGACCATGGAAGCCTTTGCTATTTTTATCTTGCATAATGTGACAAGTTACATGAGTTTTTTTTTCAAAGCAGTATTCATCTGGGAATTGAAAGCCAGATTTTAGAACACAGAATTCCTCCTTTGCCTTTCAAAGAAAGACAGCTAAAAGRTTGGATGGTTGTTTAGAGAGTCAGCATTTATGAAAGGAATGGCAGGAAAATAGAKCTTTACATCAAGTACTACAATGCTGGGTCTRTTCAGCTGYTCTTAGTATAGCTTAGGCATCTAATTTGGTTTTTGGTACTAGGGGTAGAGTCATGCCAGTTATGCATAGGAGTGCACTTCTTTGAARAGAATCCTGTAAGGCAAGTGCATTATAGAGCTCCCAAAATAGCCCTTTCTGGAAGGGAATTAGAGCATGTTTTCAGAGAAAACTTAGACTAATGATTAGCAATGTTTTGGCCCAGAGATATRTAGAGGCCATGGACAGTGCCTGTTAATGATTTATTCACGTTCTGAAGTCTCAACCTGCCTSCAGAAGTCAGGAATGAACTGGCTGCTCTTAAATTACCAGCTGGGATTTGGATTTTAGGAGGTGCTCAAGCTCTTCTTACCATGTAGCAAAAAAATTAATTAATCTTTTTTTTTTTTTTTACATTTCAGTGTCAAATTTCAAAAAGTTCTGTGCAAAGATGATTTTATTTTTTCTGGGATACTGCTTCTTAAAGCAGAATTAGTGAAAAAACTGCCAGCTCCTACTTACAGTTGGCAGACTGCAGTACTCTATAATACAAGTCATAGCAAACACCAGGCTCTACCTTTTTTCAGAAAAAAAACACTATTCCAATCAGAGCAACTTATGTGTTAACATTATCAACTACAGGAAAGTCTGTTGGGCTCTTCTAACAGTAATTTAATGTATTAATTGTTCCATGCTACAGTTTTAAGTCTACTTCTGCAATGCAAAAAATTGTAACAGCAAAGCTGATTTAGTGTTCTTGCATTTTTGTCTCTTTATGATTGAATGTGCCATAAGCTTATGTTCAGAAAACAAGAAACTTTGTGTAAGACTCCATCTGAAATACTAATACTATAACACTGTCAGTGAAGTGTTATAATCATCTAGTGGCTCTAACCTAACAAATATTTTCAGTTCTGTAGCCTTTCAGCTTTGTAAAATTCCTGTTGTATCAGATCCCGATGGAACGCAGTCATATGCTGCAAACATGCCAGTTAGATAACCTCAATTGAGCAAACATTCATTCTTACATTCACAGGAATTTTCTCTGCCTAAGGGCTGTCCTGTGATAACAGAGGTTGGGTAGCCCTAGCACTATTAAAGGCACTTTTTATTGGCAAAACAACATAGATGCTATCGGCAGTGGGTTGTGAGTTGCTTGCAAGTCACCCAAAAKGCTGTTTTTAGAAGCTCTGTTCTGGAATTCTGAGCCTTTAGTTCCTCTTTTCTTATCTAACCATCCTGCAGCTGAGCTTACATATGTTTGTCTGGTGCCTGTATTTATYCCTAATCTTTTATGAACCAGTCTAATCAGGCCATCTGACTGAATGGCACTTCTCAAAGAACAGAGAGGCTTAATCTGGTTTTGAAACTCAGCACTGGCTTCCTTTCAGAAACTGCAAGTTTGAGGTATTTTTTTTTTTTTTTTGAAGTTTAGGTGATGCACCTCTAGGCAGCAAAAGCTGTGCTCTTAGGAGGYAATGGAATAATGCTCATTTGTCAGATTCAGGGGAGTTGCTCTTGAATGCTCTGTGTATTGTAGTCCATTCCCTGCTYGCTGTAATCCCCTTGTGCCCTGTCAAAGTGCATTGCAGCTGGGAGCTTTCTAACCCCAGCCTGGCCTAGAGCCCACTAGAGAAGATCATGTGGCCCTGTGCTGCTTCTGCACTTCGTTTTTATTGCTTAACAGTGGAAATCATCTCTGACTATAAGCCTGGAAGTGGCATATTTATGCCTAAGCAAGTATTTCTGTATGTTGTTTTAAAGGATCCACTTAGCAGGAATGAAAATAGTCCGGACGTCACCGCGCCTTGGACGCTACCGAGTGATGGACTACARTGAAGAGACAGAGACACAAGAACCTTGGAGGAGGTACCTGGTGGGGCTGGGGGCTATTCTGTGCCTTGTGGCAGCTTGGCTGTTCTGTCATCTCCCGCAGAACAGGCTCAGTATGCTGCCTCCTGTCACAKCTGCTTTTTCTGCTTTAGGGAGGCTATTTAAAAGCAGCCCCAGTCAGTTACAACTGAATCATTTCACTCCTCTCTTTGCATTTGAAGGGTTTCTCCTGGTTTCTTACCTTTTCTTCCTATTGTGATGGACACATGCCAGTTACAAAGCTAACATATCAGACTTAAACATGGAATTATTCAGGAACTAAAACTTAAAGAAAAAATACTGCAAATAGGGAGATATCAGTTTGAAGAGGCACTGTGTTACAAGTTCCCAATTATAAAAGCCTGCTCTTCAGTCTGTGTGGAGTTACAATGTGCCATTAAAATAGTGGAAAGCAATATTCTCATTTGAAGACATGAGAAAGGTGCTATGAGAGACTTTATCAAAGACTGTTTTATATAGAAGAGCTGGAGGAGGGTGTTGGGTCAAGTGTGGTGGAGGYTTCTCATACCGACAGTGCAGATTTCTCTGTATCATCTGAAAACTCAGGTTTCCATAACAACCCTGTCTAAAACCCTACCTAGAGCAGCCTATGTACACGATTGCTGCAAACTTCTGTGTTGCACRCCCAGGTCTCTCTAAGCTGCTGACAGCTCCCTGGCTTTTGGAGACTGTAGCTGCCACCTCACTGGTCTCCCTCTCTGATCAGGGTCCAGTCTGAATTGTCCTCCTTGTTTCAAATACTCAGTGTGAACTTACTCTAATCTGTTTAGTCTGTATGGTGGGAAGAATTGTCTCAAGGCYTTTCTGCCCTCTGGAAGACTCTTCTTTCTGTAGCTTCAGCTGCAATGTCACCTTTTTTCTTCTATCTAACTGCAAGTGTTCTTCCTTCCTCAGGCCTCCTTCCCGACACAACACCAGAAAAACATGGAAAGCTGATGGAATGAATACATTACAGTTCAGGCTCCTTTCCAGGACAAAGCATCCTCTTTATACCAAGATCACTGTGGACATTGGATATGTTCCCCCATTTTCTTAAGAGACTGAAAACAAAAGCAGAGTTTGGGTGCCACATGGGCATTCAGCCAACATCTCCCATTTTCATGTGGAGTCTGCCCCACCTGAGATTAACCCATTTGCCTTTCACTTGAGACTGTTTCAGATTTAGAAGAGGCTCCAGGAATAGGGTATGAGAGCTACTAAACAGTCTGTGGCTTAAAATCATCCAAGTCACTGTAAAACTAACTACTGAGCCAGGTCTCTGTGMCAGTGAGCTGATCCAAGCTTTCTGGAACCTTTATTCCATAGCTGGATAGCTCTGTCCTGCTTTGTACTGAAGTGTTTATTGGGATGCAAGCCATTCTGTCAGATTGGCCTCTTGTCTGTTGTATTTTGAGAAAGTGTTGAAGCCAGTTACAGTTCTATAAATATCTTTTGTGAATTTGAGTAAAATAAACTGAGTTATGTGCTTGGCTTAASAGTTTTATAAAATATTGAATACAAGTGTAATAAAAGAGCAAGTTGCCTGAAACCAGACAAACCCAAGTTTAAATCCCTGATTGTTTTTTTTTTCTGATCTACCACTGTTTAAAAATTTTTATTGTAGCTGCAAGTAATGCAGATTGAATGGGACCTGAGGCTATCACCTAGTCTAACCTCCTGCTCAGAGCAGGGAAATTAATCCAGTACTTCAGCTGTTGCTCAGACATTAAATATCACTCAAGGTTGAGCTGTCTTCAACACAAAATACTTCTGAGAAATTAAATACTAGAGGAAAACTAAGTCAAACATGTCAACAGTGGAGCTGTGACCCTGGCAGGAATGCATTTGTACTTACCTCACTGTGAGACTGACACAGTTTGCCCAAGCCCTTGCTGTAAACTTTATTTCTCTGCCACGTCAGGCTGTAGCACTGCYTGCCAGGTCCAGTTATTTTGAGAGTGTGACACAGGGTATTTTGGCTTGTTACTTGAAGATACAAAAATTTCTTCATCCCTGAAAAGCTGCATATATCCCAGTACAACTAGTAACATTTAACGTTTCAGTCTATTCAACTGTAGAGAAATGTCCTAAAAGAAACTCTCCCAAGCCTGGGTTCACATCAACATGTAAAGACAATTAAATATAATGGAGCAAGGTAAGTGCTCTGATCAAGATTTTTGCACAAAAAAAAAGATTTTTGCAGTACAGCGGAATAGTTATCCACAGACTTTAAGAAATGGGTTAAACAAGACTCACAGATGATAATGGCCTGGATATGTATACAAACACACACTCTGCTAACAGTGTGGCCCAAAGCATTAAAAAACATGGAGAAGAATTTCTCCCCATCCAACACAGTTGGCCACTGTCTTTCCTTTGCCACCCCTGGAGAATAACAGGCATCCTGCTGTGGAATGACACTGTGATCACTGCCACAGGACACAGCAGCAGTCCCTCCACATGGGACACTGTGGTCCCATGGAAGGATGAGAGACATTCCAGAGTTCAGTGAACTGCATTTATTGAGAGATTTGTAACACCCATTACCATTACTGCCCTTCCCTCACATATAAGCAGTGTTTCCTTAGGCTAGAAAAAAAAATCAACTTTTCTCATTAAGTTTGCCATTCATGAAGAATTSTTGTGCTTTTAATGAGACCACAAATAAGTTTAGAAATAGTTGCAAAACCAAACTTTTTTTCAGGGACTTCGTTTAAGTCCTTCCACTGGATCAGCCCAAACAAGGACACTTTCAAATGTCCCAGCAAAAAGTGCATAGAAGAACACAAGGATCTGTCCCTTGAGTCAGTCCRTAACTCCAGTCCTCACAAAGGACTCTCAAGGAAAGGAAACTCTCAACCACTCAGTGAGATGCTGTGAAGGAACGCTTTACTTTCTCCTGTGCTACTGAAGGACTYTTCCAAGCAGATGCTTGGAAGTCATCTGCTCTGACAGCAACCACAAAGGAGATCTGTTGCCATTTTCTATAAYCTGGGAGGTGCTGGCACCTATGAGACCTTGGGCTGCACACTGAAATCCACYGTGATGTTGATGTACAGCGGGTTGTGTTCCACTGAGAGCAGTTTATAGGAACAGGAATTCAGCCCATCTGTTTTCCATGTTTTGGAGACCTGACGGAGGAGCTTCATCCTGGAGACAAAGAGGAGAAAAAGCCTCACTGACATGCACAGGAGGGGAGTTTTGAGCTTTTTCCCAATACCAGTAAATTTGGAAACAAAGCTACTGCCATTGTCTATCTACTGGGAATGCAAAATCCTCTTTTTCCTGTCTTCAGCATGGACAGTCATATGGGGGGGGGGGAAATCTTTTGGTTCAGTTTCTGAAATCAGATGCTTAAATCATATCCATGTAACTGTAACTTTGAAGTTTTTTGGGAAAAGCACCCAGTCAATTCTAGGAAGACCTCATGTACAGAAAACAGCTGCYAGCTGTGTACAGTGCTGTCACAGGGGTGTCCCCCAGAGCCTCTGAGTACCACAAAATGCTTAGTTGGCCTAGAGCAAAGAACCTGGCCCCCAGGTGCATGGTTCAGCCACAGACCAAGACAATGCAAGGTAGAAAGCTGTTCTTGACCCACCTCTCTCGATTCTCCTCGTTGCCGTGGTCACGGTTGTGAAAGATCATCGTGTACCTGGCCACATCAGCAGGTGGCCTCACCACTTTCATCTTCTGCATCTCAACCCTGGAAGAAGCAATAAGAAGTGCTGTGAGGAAGACAACACCTATAAACCAGCTGTTAATGAAAAAAAAAGAATTGGAGACTTCATCTCTTGTAGATGCTGTGGAGGCAAATAGAGAGTGTAAAAGCTCATTTGCATCTCTTCCACAGCCCATTTCTCTAGAAAAATGAGACTCAGAGTTGTGTTTCTGGAGAACAGGTCTGGGAGGGTGATGGAGACCCCTTTCTTTTGAACAGAAGCAGGTAGCTACTACAGTAGAGATGCAGAGATTTAAGCACACATTATASAACAGACAACATTTATATCAGTATTGACTACACCACTCTGTACTGTCCTGAAGCAAGTCTCCATATGTTCTGCAACAAGTTCATCTCAACCCTGCAATAAAAACCCTATACTTGATAGTTCTCCACTTGAAAAAAAGTGTGGGGGGGAAGCTTGTTTTCTTTTTTAATAGCTGGCAGACAGCTGCAAATCTTTGTTCACATGAAGAAAATTTCTCTGAGAACAATGCCAGAAGCACRGAGCCCTATGCACGGATTTAAGTGTCTGACATCAGTCACTTGGTTGGAGCTTTTGACCTTAAACATATCTATGGGACCCAACTTTGCTCTGACAGCAGAAAGAAAGAAACTTTATGACAAGGGAATTAAGAAATAGTCCACCTCTTTGCTAGTCACTTACCAGTGAAAGAAACACAGGAAATCAAGATTTGAAAAAACTGAGCCCCTTACAGATTTCCATGACTTTGTAGCAGTAAATTATCAAACAACGACAAGAAATGATCTGAACAATCTCTCTGTGATACACACGTGAGGAAGGAGCCCAGAAGAGACCATCAGAGTTTGCCCCTGAGGCTGAACAGTAAGAACCGAGAGCCCCCCTTATCCAATTTCTGACGGCACCGAAGGGATGCTGCCATCTGCTGACTTCCCTCGGGAAGGCTCCAAGGATCTCTGCACACAACCCAGCAGACAGCAAGCTTGCCCTTTCCTAACCCTGCAAACTCGGTCACCAGCACAGCCCAAAGCCCAAAGCCCAAAGAAATGCACAAGCCAAGTCCAGTTGCAGAGCACACACTGGGTCGTGACTTGGTTTCCCCACCAAGACCTCAAGAGTTGCAAAGTTAGGAAGTGCCACACACAAGCATTCATTTTTTTGTTTCCCACCCCTTGCAAACATCGTAGAGACCCTCAGTAAATCCTGATGTTCTGGTGCACTCCTGCTTCTCTGCTGCCTAAGAAAGGCCATGGAATAAGATAGCACCAAGCCACCTCTTCCACTAATGAAAAGCCCGCTCCCAGGAAGTCACAGAGAAATTGGTGTGTGTAAGAAGGAAAAAATAGCTGTGGTTAAGAAGGGACAGAAATCCATGCCTCCAGCAGACTAGATTCTTGAGATTTAGAGATTCTTGAGATTTAGATTTCTTGAGATACAGCTGACCAATCTGCTCAACTGACACCGACAAACACTTTCACTTGGAAGTTCCTAACTTTTAATACACTTGATCCCCTGTATATTTATTTAACRTCACCAAGGATATAAATTTTATCCCCAAAATGTTTGTTTGCATATTTAAGCAACTGAAAAGGATAACAACTTCAAAATGACAAGAGTACAAGCCAAATTACACACTGATACGCTCTGCAGCAGAGCTTGTGGAGTTCTGGGTTCTTGTCTSTTGTTTGCTTATGGTTTATTCTCTAGTTACTAACAGCAATGCAGGATTAGAGGTTTCTTCCTAAGCAAAGGGCAAAAGATCAACATAAAATTTTTGTTGACTTCTTTGTCCCACTAAACCTTTCCAATGAACAGGTTTCTCCTACTTTGACAGGCAGAGCTGCAAAACTAGTTTAAACAAAAGTAAAAGGGTATCTGCATATATTTGTAGCCTTTCTAAAATTCAAGTTATTTGCTATCTTCACTATAATCAATACCACACAAATACAAATTAAGCCCTGYTTGGAGTAAATCCAGTAGTCAATGAATGCAAAACACCCAGTCTTACCAAAACACTCCCACACTCCTGCAAAGCGACTTTTGCAAACCCCGCTCCAGACTTCAACTATAACCAATTTCCCAGCAAGAATACAAATTCTATGCATCTGAGACAAAACCAAACCAAACAAATAACCCAGACCCAACCCCCACCCAAGTGTTGTCATGAAGAGGACCAGGYATTGGGCATACCTAACTCTTGTGAAGAGGAAACTGCTCATAGAACTGCATCTTGCACTTCACAACTCCACTGCAATACTGTTCAAKACTGTTTTGAATTAAGGCCCCTGTAGTGTTCTACTTTTGGAGGCACAGTGTGAAGTTGCGCCAATTTTTAAAATTTTTTTAAACTAAAATTGTTTACCTGATTCGAAGGTCATCATCTTCTCCACCCCAACCCCAGTAGTTGTTAGAGAATCCATTCACTTTGGAAAACTGATCTCTTGTTAGAGCAGTTACACCTCCAAAATATCCCCTGTACCGTAACCTAGAGGTACAAGAAGAGAGAATGAAGAATTAAAAGTCACRTTCTATCAATAATAAAAATATCACCCTGATACTCCAGATCTAGACTTGTCTTTCACAGAGTTAAGGGTGCATAAATCCTTGAAAGCTGGTCCTGTTCTCTTTCTCCTTCCTCAAAAAGATGGTGATTTGCCTAAGGCCAGAGAAAGTTACCTCTCCAACTGAGAGAATAGAGTCTTATTCAGAAGCTCCTTTCTCTTTACACAATTCCCCTTGCCAGCCAAAAAGATACTTCATTTCAGGGACTCTGATGTATAGAAAAGAAACAAAGCCATGCACTAATGTAGTGGAAGCTTTGCAATAACATCAGCGAGCCACTGACTGTCTCAGAGCTGAATCTGAAAAACCTGGAATGAAATCAGCTCACAGCAAGAGGACATGTGCTACTAAGTAATGCAACAACAATTCCAAGGTAAGGTACAGTGCAAGTTACTTAGTAACCCAATGTAATGGAGCTCAGCTCTAAAGGAGATTAATTTCTAACTTACCTTCTGCATCCTAACTGCATCTACTTTAGAAAGGTGTTTACATACCATGTTTATTTATCTTCTTAGGCCTTTCTGCTAATTGCTTTTTATGATGCCCTCCTCTGTCTTGGCCCTTAAGGTAACATTACAACACAATCTCTACTTCCCTGYCCCAGCCCATGCAGAGGTGATGGGCACATGGCTGCAGATCACATTTTGATTTGTGAATCTAAACAGATGAACAAATTGCCAGGGCTAGAAAGTACCCATTATGGCACTTTACATAATAATGCTTATTATTMGGCCAGATAATGCTTATTATTTCTGGTTTACCATGAATATAATTTAAAAACACCAAAGGAGAAAATAAAAAACAACACAAGACCCTCAACACAACCTCCTTCAGACTATTTWTCCTGGCTGATTTTCTCTCCTGTCACAGCATCACAGAGAAATTGTGAAGGCTGAAGGGGTTGCTGCAGATCAAGTAATCCTTGTCACAAGGGCACATTGCTGCCCCAGATCCCTTTCTGTAAAGGTGCTTTCCACACAGTTGTCMTCCAGCAGCTATTGGTGCATGGAGTTATTTTTCTCCAGGTGCAAAACCCTGCATTGTTGAACTTTAGATTCCTGCTGGCCATTCTTCTCCAGCCAAGTACCAGGCCCTGGTACCTAAACCARCCCTGTGAGATTTCTGTTTTCTGAAAACCTGCTGAGGGTGCAATCTGCCCCATCTTCYAGGCTACTGATGAAGATACTAACTAGTACCAGCCCTAGTACCTGGRGTAAACCACTAGTGATATTATCTTCAATTGTGGAAGCAAGTGGCAAGTTCTGTTATAGTAAAGTAACACCCTCAAATCACAGGATCAGGAAACTAATGCATTTCTAGCTTTGACAGAAGGTCTCTGCACAACCTCTGGCATGTTGTTTTCCTCTCGAAACACCCCTTAACTCAGCCCCAGAAATCAGAACAATGACAATGATCATTTGTACTGGTGACCCCAAGGCTGACTTGAGAGTGAAGTGTTATCACCAGAAACTTGGTGTCAGGAAGAAGGGTAAATTATCAGCATACATCTCCATCAGAAGAGGAACATTATCAGTAACGTGGTATTTCTCATTGGTATTCTTTCCACATTCCTGGTTTCTTACCTGTATCCAGTATTATTTCTGCCAACTACAAGGTGCTTTGGTTGTGTGTCGCACATGTAAATGTTAAAGTCATTTTCTGGCACCAGATCCACATCATGGAAAATGAARCAGTCCCAGTTTGCTTCTTTTAGGGCCTCTAGGTATCCTACATTCAGCAGTTTAGCTCGATTAAATTTGGTGTTGCCAGCCTGTGGAASAGAATGGAAAAAAACAATTCTGAAGAAGGTGCCACAGCTTTAGAACCAGAGGGGCACCTGGGCATTTGTTCTGATCACATGGTTTGCACCCAGATCCGTGTGGCTTTTCCAGCACCTTTACAGCAGTAACTGAACAAGGAGCTGCCCCTTAACACTGGGCACAGCACCCAAGTGGCCAATGGTGCAGAGTTCCTCCAGCCTCTCTTCATCATGCCAGGGCCAGGAAAGTCTTTGGTTTTCTGGGCACCACATGCATGAGTGCTCCATTAGGGGACATAACTGCCTCCTGTCCCAGAGTTACCATCAGGATCCTTAACAGAAGAGCTATCATGACAGTCTAGAAACTGGTGTTCCATACAACTGTGTCAGTAAGGCTTATGGAAGTTTTTTTTAAAAGGAAAAACCAAACCCAATGCCCATGTTAATCCCATGCTAATTAGTCAGTAAATGTCAGAGCCCTCGCCACAAACAATGTACGTTTGTCCCCTCAGCTGGGAGGACAGCAATGCTGAAATAGCTCCTTGTATTTCCTTAGCTCACACGCAGGTGGCAGAGTGGGAAGTGAAAAGCAGGTCTCTTCATTTTCACCTCCTACCTATAAYCTGATTGTGCTGCTATATGGGGCCTGCTCCTAGCACAGAGCTTTGCTTGACTTTTACTAGCCTTCATAGTTTGCTTTTGCTATAAGTTAGTTTATATTTGCTTTTCAAAAATCAAATTTTCACCTCTGAGGTACAGGTATATATATATCAACACCTGGTTGTTTTGAAAGCTTATCATGTCATCATTCACTTTGGAGAAACATGTGTGCTTATGTTGCTATTTTCATTTTTTTACCTGGCCACGCACTGTGCCAGCTTGCAGAAGGCTTTCTGCTCTTGAGGACAAAGTAARGATTTGCCTCAAGTTCCCACTTGGGAACCAGAGGGCCAAGCCCTGCCCTCCCAGAAATGGACAGGACAGTCACTTTCCAAAGCAAGGCACCTGAGGTACTTGAAAAAATAAAAAAAAAAAAAATTAAGGGAAAATAAAGGGAAAATGCTTGGAATTCTAGCAAATTTTGTAGAAGATGCCTGGACAGAAAGAGGCTCTGTGGAAAATGAGAAAAAAAGCCAGCGTCCCCAGGCTGAGAGCAGGTAAGCTGTAGGGAAAAGCTGTTGTACACAAAGCATGTTTTATTGTTTTAAAAAGCAACACTTTGCTGTAAAGCAGGATTTGTTCACCATCACTAATAACCATCTGCTCCTGCACAAAGAAGATTTATGGGATTCATGACTCCATTCCTGCAGTCTGAAAAATACAATGCAGTGCCCATTATGAGAAATTAAGAGATGGAGAATCAATTGCATTCATTCCCAGAGAGAAATCTTCCAGTAAAAAGTTTAGATACAATTTACCCAAAATCTAGGATGTCAAATTTTTGCATGCAGTATTTTTCTGCTTGTTTCGGATTTTTGTTAGTTTTTCTTAAAATGTCCTCTATATGAAAACACTCATCAGATAATCTCCTCATGACAATGAAAACATAGGTTTATTGAGTGAACAGAACAAATCAGATGGCTGGTAAAGTATATTTGGAGAAAATCACTTGTACTRAGTATCAAACCCAGCTTAGTTCAGGAGCAGCATCTACCATGTGCTGAAGTTGTTTTCCTCATAAGTGCAAGGCACCAGAGCAGCTGACACTGCTTCCCAGGAAGGGAAGTTTTCCATGTCAGAGCACATACTGAAGAAATAGCAAAACTCATTCATCTTTTATTAAGGACAGAATTGTCTCCCTTTGTTGCTATGGAAGAACACTGCCCACAAGAAAAACTTATGTTGGGAAAGAAATTACTCACCCTTTAGGGATTACAAACTCACTTTGTTTTCAGGACTGCATTCATGTATGCACACACTTAGAGAAACAGACTTTAGACATGTTAAAAGCAGCCCATAAAGAAGAAATCTGGAGTAAGCCCTTCAGTGGCTCATAGAAAAAAAAAATACCAGAGGCCCATCTAAGCTACCTCCACAGTAGACTGTATATTTTAACAGTTAAATCCTGTTTTTCTTTCCTCAAAAGAGACTTAAAACAATKAATGACATCACAAATCAAGAGTGAAAATGGATTTGCCCCAGAAGAGTTTTGTTATACCCAGAGTTTTGTTATTCCAGTCTCTGGGCATGTCCATCTACATGGAAAAGCTATGTGAAARCTTCCAATATTCCAAGCACAATCTCTGATAGAGCAAGTTCAGGTTGGGCACTGCTGCTCACATCACTGCTGCAGACAAAACTTCCATACTTCTGTATTGCTTTTTGCTAATATGACAACAGCAGCTCTCCACTTCACATATTTCAGTAAATTCAAAAGGTACGCCCATTCTCCCAATAATTTATTCCTAACCTCTGTTTCCTGCTAGAATGAGTCAGTAGATGTATTATTATAGTACATATTAATGTAGAAATAAAAMACCCTCCATTTTTCCACTCTACAGGCCACATGATGACTAAACARTGAAAGAACAATTCACTCCAAGTAAAAATATCCTGCCATGAATTTTGCTACTGTTCTGCTGAGACATTGAGCAAAAATGTAAGTGTGTATGTTTTCACCTAGAAAGCATTGCCTCATACTGATTAATTGACTCTAAGCTCTTTAAACAGGCTCCTTCTGCCTGAACATGTYTGTTTAGAGTCAAAGCAGAACATACAAGTAAATGACAGTAAAAAAAAGCAAGCATAACAAAAGATCAAGAAAAAGACAACATATTACAAAATAGAAATGTATAATGCTTTTAGCACATGCAAGCAGAATATAAGCACTTTGATGAAAGACAATGTGGCACAAATCTGTTTGAGTTTAGCCACTGAAACAGCATTGCTAGAAAGAACAAATAAAGAAATTAATAAATCTTTCAGGAACCAAGTGACCTTCCATGACAACTACTTCCCACCTCCATTGATGAGCAAATAAAGCAGCTACAAGCAGCAGCTATTGTGTTTAGTTTGAGAAAGCAAAAATCCAACCACAYGATACACACAACTTACTAAGCACAAGAGCCTGATGAGAGATAGGGGCTGGAGACAAACTGGGGCCTTCAATCTAAACAACTCCAAATGTGGAAACAAAACAGGCCAGCCTAGTTACATGTGTAGGTACTGCAAGAGAAGTGAGTTGCATTAGCAGTGCAAAAAATGCTTACCTTGAATGCTCACTCAGAAACAGCAAATTACTTAGGCTGAGAAATGAACAAAGCTAAAGACACTGCCAATACTCCCCAGCYCTGAGACCCAGTAGTGCCACCAGCAGTGGCTGCAGGCACTGTTGCATCTCTCAGCAAGCAGAATAGTTCAAAGCAGGCTTGGAGRACTGATGACAGACAGCAGAGGCAGGGCACAGCCATCATCCTCACCCAAAAATCTCWGCCTCACCTGGTGAATGACATAGATGCCATAGTCCAGCTGCTGCCTTTGCAGGAAGGGGTGGAGGTGCTGCAGGAGGTACAGCAGATGCTTCTCTCGGTTGCGGTGAGGGATAAGGATGGCCACGTGCTGCAGGGCTGAGCACTCCACAGGGTGGTACCGGCCCTTGGCTACCTGAGGGTTCTCCTTTTGCACTTCTTCMAGTGTAACAGATGGTTCAAAGGAGAGCTTGCTGGCACCTCCTGTAAGAGAAGCAYGAGAAGCTTTCCTGAGTCGTTTCAGGTTGTGGCTGGTCCAGTCACTTAATGGGGACTCTGTAAACAGGGTAGGAAACCCAGATTCAAGCCCCAGTTGGTTTCCCTGCCTTTCYAAGAGAAAAGAAGTACTACAAGGTATTATGCAGGCAGTGGAAGGAGAGGGTGTCAACCACATAGTTGCTTAAACTGATTATGAAGTAGTGGCAATAAAAAAAAATTAAAACAAAAAAATCAAGAGAAGTTCCATGCTACTGCAGAAAGATTGGCCAAAAATGTCTGCCAGGGCAAAGCAGAGGAGAAGAAAGTGGAAAGAGACATAGACATGAYTTCTTTCAGCCACAGTCCTATCTAAAGCACTAGAAAGGCATGACAGGTTTAGGCTATACATTTCTAATATAAAATGCACCAAGTCTTTCTTAGCCAAATGAAATTGTCATCCCTTCTCTTGCATTAGCTATAATCCCAGCTCCTCTAGACTCAGCAAGCCCATTAAAAAGTTCAGTGAAGGCAACTGTGATGGCAACAGCCACATTGCATTTACTTAATCAAATACATTTCGGGGTCACCAGTGAGGATGTCTAGGTAGACAGAATCTTTTTGGACTACACCAGGGAAGAAAGAAGAATCCAGCTTCCCAAACAAATCCCTAATCAGGTTCACAATAAGGAAGAGAAAAAATATAATGACATGATAAAACAAAGCGGGAGCCTGGTGCTGCTAGCAGTACCAAGACAAGAAAAAAAGCAGAATAATAAAAAAGCCCAGACCAAGGAAACAGTCACCCATTTGAACTTTCATCATAATTAGAGCTAACTCCAAAAGAGTTGCAAAGTCCTTCAGTTGTCAACACAGAGACACAAAAGTGTATTTAAYAGTGAAAAGGCAAAAAACTGAGGAAAGGTGAAAACAGTTGTGGTTGAGACAAAAATAGTTTCATTTTTAAAAAGAGCAAAAGATGGATGCATAAGCGAGGGAAAAAATCCTTCAATAATCCCCACTGGCAGGCAGGTGTTCAGCTATGTCCAGGGAAGCAGGGCTTCAGCACATCCAGCAGTTGTTGGAAGACAAATGCTGCCACCATTATCATCCCTCTTTCCTCTTTTCCCCGAGCTTTTACTGCTGAGCATGATGAATGGCATGGGCACAGGTATGGAATACCCCTACAGCTGGGGTCAGCAGTCCAGGCTGTGTCCACTCCCAGCCTCCTGTCCACCTCACCAGATTTTAGGGGACCTAAATAGACAGAGACAAAGCCTCAGTGGAGTGCAAACACTGTTCAGAGTAGCCATGTTACTGGTGCATTATAAAAGCTTTTTATCCATAAATGCAGAGCACAGCACCAGCTGCTCTCCCAGCCAGACCCAGCACAGGCACTCTGTACCACAAGACACTTCCTCACCCAGGAGGGCCTCCTGCAACTGGTTGTATTGGTTTCACAGGAAAAGTATCCAACTGGAAAAGGGCTAGGAAGAAACCCAAGTCAGCAGCACTGCAGCAGACTAACTTATCAGAAGGGAGAGGAAAACACCATTACTTACGCAGGTATGGSGACTGAGCTGGGCAGGGACCCTCAAATGATTTCGCCATGGGAACATCTTCAGTGGATTCAATCCTCTCTTCCTTTTGACTGTCCTCCAGGCTAGCAACCTTCCTGAAAAACTCCACCATGCTCTTAGCTTTAGGAAATTCCTGTCTGGTGTCTACTAAGTAACTAAATGTTGTCCATAGCACCATCAAAAACAAAGTAACAAGCACCAACAGTTTGAACTTTTGGAAGAGGTGAGAAACATTCAAGCTCAAGGCCATGGCTTTCCCTGATGCACAAAYTGCTTCCTCTGCTCTGATGCCAAGGCAGGTCACTGCATATCCAGTAGGGATGAAACCACTGTTCCCAGTAAGAATGTCACAGTCGGGAAGTAAAGCTGGAGGTAGGGAGGGCTKCCACACTTCCTGCAGTTTTGCAATTCATGTAGCCATAGTATTGTTTGCTCTTCAAATGTCACAAATACGACTTCAATCTGGATCACAAAAAAAAAGAGAAAAGGAAGGAGAGAATTAGTTTCTGACACCTCCACTACTACACCTTCACAGACTTCATGAAAACAGGTTATGATAATGCACAAACCAAGTATGAACAACTGGTCAAAAACCAAAACACTGATCTTTGGTCTTAGCTCAGCCACAAACCAGCCACCCAATTTTATGCAAACCACTTTCCTGTTTTGTTCTCCTCTCTCAGATCAGAAAGTGCAACCACTACCCCGTGTTATGTCTRTGCACAGTGCCTGGCAATAACACAGGTTTTACTACTTCTGCTCCAACCAAAATTAACAACAGCTGCAAAGCAAGACATTCTGCTGGCTGTGAGTAAWGCCCCACAAAAGGTTCAGTTTTTTATAAGTGTTAGGTCTGTGAGGATCCAWTTCTTCATACCTGCCCTCTTTCAAGAGCTCCATTTTCATACAGCCTTTCACTGCCAACATACTATAGTTACCACTCTAATACTTTCCACTTTTATTATCATCTCATAGAAGAGAAAGAATGACATTTTAATAAAAGAGAGCTTTGATATAGAAAACACACWAGAAAACTGCCACCTCTGAGAAGAACAAGGACTGAGGCTAAGTGAAGCAAAGGCAATGATTAAAGCCAATGCACATGAAACAGGCTAGATCAAAGAGAAGAAACACAAAAACATGGAAAAGGTTATTTATACCAGCCTCTGTGAGACCCTAGAGAGATATCACAGGCACAAGGAATACAGTAACTCCACAATTCCATTAGTTTAGGCCAGATGTCTTCTGGAGAATTTTACTGCTTCATGGGGTGTATGTGGGAGTCTGACCTAGGACTAGCAAGATGAACTCCCCCAAGCTTCTCAGGGYTCACTAGGAATGACCAGCTGCTGTCCCTCCTAGCATGCACTACATGGAGTAGAAAACCTGCTCTCCCCTTTCACATGCAATGCACAGCATTGCTCTAAGGAAGTAAAGGGACTCAAATAAAAGAAAAAATGTCCCCTTCCCCCATCACTTTATATCCCGCAATAGTTGCATACAGGAAATCAGTGATAAGCTCTATGAGATGATATGTGATTTGCTCTCTAAGCATCTGAGAGCAGTGTGGATCCCATGGGTAGTATTAGTCTGTAATCATTAAATCAATTTTTCGTACCTAAACTCTACCTGCAAGTTTCTACAGAATAATTTAAACTGCTGCATTTCATGGCCTCTCAAAGATACTATGCAGCATTCTTCAGGTGAAGCACTTCCCCCAAGGGGTTTCTCCAAAATAAACCTAAGGATTTACTGTACAAAGTGATGCAGGACCAATTCCAAGTGTGCCCCAAATTAACCTGGACTGAAAAGGACAACACAAAAGTTAAGATRCTGAACTTGACAGGCAGCGAATGACTATCAAAAAGAGTTTATTACATTCACAGCTTCCCACTTTCCTAGAAGTGAACTACAATCTTTAAAAAAAGTTAAAACAGTTGCTCACCACTGGTACTCAGATTAGTGCAAATGGACTCCCCAAAAGAAATTCTTTTTTCCACAAATAAAATTAAAAATTAACTATCCATGGAAAAATACGTACAGAAATATCAGGAGGCAGGCAGCAGTACTAGTCAGAAGAAGCTTCTGAAATATTTTGTTGTCGTTGTTAAAATATCAGGAAAAGCATGGAGGTGTAAAATTGCCAAGGTACTAAGGCATTAAAATTATGGACATAAACTACAAACTTACTGGACCAACCTTATTTYTACTCTCCTCCACTCCTATTCCAAATCTCACATATATGCATTTTCCTTTGTCAGCTTTGCAAGATTCTATAAGGAGTTGCTACTAAAAGTTCACATTACTTGTCTCTGAAAATAATCAGACTATACTACTGTCAGTGTGAATAACTTCCCAKAATAACCAAAATCACATCCCCACTGTGTTCTATGGCAGCAACAGAATGGTACTCTTACTTAAAATACACTTGAGCACTTCAACTTAAGCAGTATAAATATGCATCCATGATCACAACCATTAGTCACCTTCAGCTCATCACAACACTCATGCARGGGGCAATAATTCATGTTTCAGAAACCTGCACTTGGATAATTTGGTATTTTGGTGTTATCTATGGAGAATACTGCATGTATTTCAAAATTGAGAAGCATGGAGGTGTTTTGGTATTTTAAATGGAAAATCATGCATTAATCAATTTACYCCCCAATTTACCTTACATTATTACTTCAGAGGTTAAAAGGTTGTTTGCTTGGCTTTTTTTTCCCCTGAAACCTGAGAATAGCATGTGCACAGAAAGGTTCACCTGATTCTACCAACAGAGGARGAAGAACTGTGGAAGAACTGTACCCTTAGGAACTAAGATGACAAACAGTGAGGAGCTGTTGCTTTTACAGCTCCTGCCAAAGACTGAGAACTTGGGAACTTAAGAGGACAATAACTGAGAATAAAAGGGCAAGCAAGAAGTTAAGCCTCAATAAGAACCTGCCTGTCAGAGAGGCAAAAGGAAAAGAAACCTTGGTCATTGAACAATGGTCAAAGAATTTCTTGGTCAAAGAAACATTGGTCAGAAACCCTCACCTGTGAAGGGTGTTGTTTTACCATTTCACACTAAGGATTCTTCAGTTGAAAAAGTTACCTTTCACCAGCAAGCTTAAAGTACCTGGGTTGCTAAATCAGGCAGATTAGCTAGAGAAAAAAAAGACCAGAGCTTGGACCTTGTCAAAGAAAAGAAACCCTAAAATGTTAAGTCTCAGGGCATGATGCTAAAAAGCCACACCTGGAGAAGTAGTATAAAAGCCAGAGTTATAAAATATGCATAAAATCATTATTAAGAGAAAAGTCTTAATAAAATACTGACTATAAYAGTCATACAAAACCCACTCCAAATTTAGTAGTCTTAACTACTGCCTTAGCTGAGGCACAGAAGACATTCAGTACCTAAGTCCTTTCCACRTCCTGAGCAACCAAGTCTCCCATTCCACTGAGCAATGGGCCCACATTTCCCTATGTTCATTTTATTCCCTATGTAGTTAAAGAAGCACCTCTTTTCATCTTTGATATCMCTAGATTATGGTTAATATATTGTTTGAGGGTGGTGGTGAAAAAAGACCACCAGTTGTACATTATAACATGTGCATTATAACATTATAACACAATACTTTAATACTGAACAAGTTTTGCTAYAAATAATAATATCTCAGAAGCCAGAAACATGGCTCTTCTTTCTTCTGTAATTTGTAACTCAGGATGACAAACCCTGAGATATGGGTGGGAGAATACTTGTGGTGCAACTAAACTCTTGTCATAGCTCTGAAACCTGACTCTAGTTAGATCTGACCTTCATAAAATAGACCAAAGAAACTTTCATAGGGAAYATAAAGCACAACTTTCTTGTGAAAAATATTCTCAGTGAAGCATAACCAAACCTAGTTTAGAAAGTTACAGCTGGCTAGAAGGCCACAGCCCTTCAGGCCACAAGGTCAAAACTACCACAGTACCCACTTCAAAACACATGACAAAAAAAAATTAACAGAACAAAGCCACAGTTATGCAAATCAGTCAGAATTCTAAAATATATGGAAAAGGTGAAAGTCTCCATCTACATGTAGGTGTACTTGTATCTAAACAGATGCTGTAACACAAATCTAAACAGTTCCCTGGTCATACTGAGGCACAAAAMCAGTGGACGTTGTGCTTTCCCCAGTATCACATCTGTACCAAAAACTGTCCCTGTGCTCTGCAGCTTGTSTGACAACTCAAGTTCCATAGCCTGCTATATGTTTTGAATCACATGCCAAGCCCTACTTCCTTGTTTGAAGGCTCCTGGCCCTGCTCATAACAGGAGCAGGAACCCATCAGGAACACAGAGCTGTGGTTCCTCCTTGAACAGCGGGGTTCAGTTCCCATCCTTGAGCCTGATAGCACAAACATGAAGCCTTAACTCGCCATTTCCCATCCAGGAAGTCCAAAATAGTAAGCAAGGTTCCAGCATAGACAAGACTTCTTCTGAAGCAAACTAGAAAGATCAGAACCCTGTCCATACTTATCCAGGTYTTTCCCAGAATAAAAACACATGCATTGGAGTCTGACACACTGCAAGCACAGACCAAGCAAGCAACACTTGCACAAGCTGATTCCCCATGTAAGGACTGCTGGGTCAACCTATGCATTTGCCTCCCCACTGAAGCCARTAGCATTACCAAGCTCAGAAATGCCCAGAAATACTGGAATAAAGGCTGTTATTCTTCATTGAAGCAGAACTCCTAGGCAGACAAAGTTAGTAGCAGCAGGAAGACTGAGAACTGGTAGACCTGATCCAGATATCAGTGAAGGAAAGTAATCTTATGAACAAAATTTGGTAAGTAACTGGGGTTGATAAAAACACATTATGTTCCAAACAGAGATCTTTCCTGATAACTTTTAGATAAAAACTGTCATTATGATAATTATGCTAAAGCCTAGATTCACATGATTACTTATCGAAAAAAGTTATGCTTAACAGTATAAATAATCAGTAAGAACATGGTGCCTAAATTTTATTYTTCATATATTCACATTAAAAACAATTCACTCTGTATGGAACACCTGCAGGACAGCTCCAGAAAGATATTTTCATCTGATGAAGGAATATTAATTGTTAATTTACACAAACCAACTTTCTGACTCTACCTGTTTCACACAGTTGAGTAAGGACTGATTTCCCATACAGGATTTTTCAGAAGCCCCAGCAAGCTCCTCAAGCTCACACAGAAATTCTAAAGGCAGCAGAACAGGTTCAGCAGCAACAAGCATTCACTTCAACCTAACTCTAAAAACTGTAATAAGTTCAAGCAGGAAATGAAGCATGAATGAGTCCCTTGGAACTGCATTTAATCAACTCTGTACTATGCAGACAACTATTTCTTATTTTATCTAGGCCAAAATCAAAAGCAGCAATGGGTTAGCTCTGGATGTATCTGGAAGTGCAGCATTCTTCATGAAATCCACCAAGAAGGGATTAA